TTTCCATCTTATATTTTATAGGAGCCTTTTACTCATTTTTAGAATTGCAAAATTACAAAGATTCTCTTAGAACTCTATATAATAATAATTTTGAATACACAGATACATATTAAAATTCCATTCTTTTTAAAGGCTTGAAAACTATGTAGCTATTAAAAATAGTAGTATTAAAAGAATTAATGGATCTAATACAAACTTTAAGTGTTTATGAAACTATTAATATATTGCTCTACACAAATGTTATATACTAATACAACTTATACCTTTGCATACCATATACTAATACTGTAATTGTAAGGTACACTGGGGATGCTCCCCGACCCCTTTGTACCTATGACGGGGTTAATAAAATTACAAATTAAAAAAAAAAAATTCAGACCAATTTACAGGATATTTGGATCAAAACAGTAGCCACTAGAGTGTTAACAAGATTTTTCTATTTTTAGCTCCTGTGACCTAGTTTTTCATCCGAGATGACCAATGTTCGAACTCATCCAAGCTATCAACTAGACACACATCCTGACCAAGTTTGATGATGATTGAGGCAAAATTGTGACCGCTAGAGTGTTAACAAGGTTTTTCTATTTTTAGCTCATGTGACCTAGTTTTTCATCCGAGATGACCCATGTTCGAACTCATCCGAGCTATCAAATAGATAAGCATCCTGACCAAGTTGATGATGATTGAGGCAAAAATGTGACCGCTAGAGTGTTAACAAGGTTTTTCTATTTAAGCTCCGGTGACCTAGTTTTTTCATCTGAGATGACCCATGTTCAAACTCATGCCAAGCTATCACCTAGACAAGATACCTGACCAAGTTTGATGATGATTGAGGCAAAAAATGTGACCGCTAGACTGTGGGTTAACAAAGTTTTTCTATTTTTTAGCTCCGGTGACCTACTTTTTCATCCGAGATGACCCATGTTCGAACTCATCCCAAGCTATCACCTAGACAAGCATCTTGACCAAGTTTGATGATGATTGATGCAAAAAATGTGACCGCTAGAGTGTTTAACAAGGTTTTTTTCTATTTTTTAGCTCTAGTGAACCTACTTTTTCACTTTTCATCAGAGATGACCCATGTTCGAACTCATCCGAGCTATCACCTAGACAAACTTCCCTGACAAAGTTTGATGATGATTGATGCCAAAATGTGACCGCTAGAGTGTTAACAAGGTTTTTCTATTTTTTTAGCTCCGGTGACCTACTTTTTTCAGGCCGAGATGACCCATGTTCGAACTCATCCAAGCTATCATCTAGAACAAACATCCTGACCAAGTTTGATGATGATTGAGGCAAAATGTGACCGCTAGAGTGTTAACAAGGTTTTTCTATTTTTAGCTCTTGTGACCTAGTTTTTCATCCGAGATGACCCATGTTCGAAGTCATCCGAGCTATCAATCTAGACAAACATTCTGACCAAGTTTGATGATGATTGAGGCAAAAATGTGACCTCTAGAGTGTTAACAAGGTTTTTCTATTTTTAGCTCTTGTGACCTAGTTTTTCATCCGAGATGACCCATGTTCGAACTCATCCGAGCTATCAACTAGATAAGCATCCTGACCAAGTTTGATGATGACTGAGGCAAAAATGCGACCGCTAGAGTGTTAACAACAAAATGTGAACGGACGACGGACGGACGGACGACGGACGGACGACGGACAATCATCGATCCTAAAAGCTCACCCTGAGCATGCTCAGGTGAGCTAAAAACCAACAATTGGCAATGAATGGTTTATTCAACTAACACACTGATCTGTTTTAAAATGATGCGTACGTCTGTTTTAAATAAACGTTTGCCTGCGTTTATTAATAATAATTGACCAAAGAAAATATTAAGATAGGCCTACTGCTATGAAAGAAAACTATTTTGGATAATAAGAAAAGTATTATCGTTAAGAAAAAATAATCATTTTAAGAAGCATGCGAAAACTGTGCAATTATAGGTCTAGTAGATATCCTGTCCTTTTTTACATATCATTAGTTGAGAATCCACAGAATTAACGAATTAGCGATATCTTCCTAGACAGACATTTAATCTCTATTGTCTTAACGGAGGTAAAAATGGAGATTATCATATAGAGTCCTTGTACTCATAAGGTATGTAAGTCTCATCATAAATATGGTGAGTTTTATAAATAAAAAACCCAACAACTATTAGGATAGGTTTTTGTCGTAAGTGCAATACTAGGACAAAACTGCCTGTTATATGAGGTATGGTTTTCTATGAAACGCACACATCGTTCAATTATTAATACCAACTTCAAACGGTATCAGTGTTTGAATATTATTTACTATCAATGAAGTTCTTAAAGTTAGTATGCACACACGTTGTTTATTGACAGACAGACAGGTGTACATGGCATTACCAAATATTTCCTGAAAGCATTTTTATATATAGAATGTATAGACTTTGTAAATTTTATAAACTCGTCAGAAAGCTACCCAAAGGTAATAGGAAGGAATTCTTAGAGTTTATGAACTTGCAAGCCCAGTAAAAAAAGAAAATATGTAACTGACATTGAAAAGTTGCCTGTAAACTAATAGTTGGGTATCGCTGCAGAAAATGAATCATCATATCTTGGATTAATCATGATACAGTATTGTACTAAAACACACACACACACAATAAACGTCAATGACACGTTGGAACGTCAAGGCCATTTCCTCCAGGTTAGAGCTTTGTGCTCCTTAATTATATTGCTTTAAAGAGGATCGAACCCCTAAACTAATGAAACATCTATATAATCCGCAGAGTTTGTACCCGAAAATGGTGCTTTTTACTTTTTACGAAAATTTGTATACTTTATATACAGAAAGAACAAAGCTCCGATCCAAAAACCGACTATAAGCCGCAACGGAATCATACAAATGATGTTTTATCACCCGGCACCAGAAAATGGTGTTGTTGTTTTTTTCTGGAAATTCATACAATTTATATAAATAAATGACAGAGCTTCGATCTTAAAAACGGCCATGCCCTGCGGAAACCTCATGGACCAATACGCTCCGGAATCAGACAAATGGCGTTTTAACGATTGACACCAGAAAAATGGTGTTTTATAAAAAAAAATCATAAATTTTATATAGAGAAAGAACAAATGACGATAGAAAAATCAAAAACAAGACACGCACATACAAAAAATCCCAAAAAACAACAAAAAAAAAAAAACAAACTACAATGCCATGCGATACTCTCATGGCTGGAGATATGTACCCTATATTGCTGTAAAGAAGAACCTCCTCCGAACTAATGCAAGGGCCCATCTGCAACGGAATCAGACAAATGGTTTTTAAACTATTGGCACTAGAATTAGGTGGTTTTAAGAACCTTTTAAAAGATCAAGATCGGGATATAAAAAAAAATTAAATAGATGATGACAATATAAAAATATTGGACTTATCTATAAATATTTCTATATACATATACATCTATACATCTTATCAGTAAAGTCTTAATATAAACTCAAAGTTAAAAGTTCAAATACTGAAAAGGAACAAAGATAAGTTGATATCTTTTAACATTTCTGTTTGAGTAATTCGTTTTTCGTTAAAGTGATGCTTCGATATGCAACTGCTGTAGTTTTATTGCTCGGTGTAGCAATTGCCTTTCCATTGCATGGTAAATTATTTCTTTTTTATTGACAATTTATTTACAACTGAAACCGTTTGGCGTATGAATCATGCAAGGTTACCTGATAAGGTTAACTGTCCAGCTGTCAAAGTATAGAAGACTGTCGCAAGGTTTTGGTAATATAAACTATGTCAGCCAGACTTGGCCGAAGTCTGAAGAAAAAAAAATGAAATTGAACTACTAAAAAAGCTTATTGAAATGTTATTTTGCATTGGCAATAAAATCATCTGAATCTGTTAAAAACACAATATAGTGAAAACTCAATTCATTTAACAAATTATACTTTTCGTGGCTAGAAAAATCATATAGATTAGGACGCCTTATATTTCAGATGTAAAGCGAGCAACCGACTTTGGATCGTTTGATCCTAACGCTTTGTACAATCAAATGTCACAACAAGCGCAACAATTCCTGGGTCAAAATGGCGTTTCATCTGGTTCCGGCACAGCTTCTCAAAGTAGTTCCAGCAGTTCAAGTTCAGGCGCTAGTGGCTCAGGAACTGGAGGGTTTGACGCCAATGCACTATACCAGCAACAGTCTCAGCTAATGCAACAATATATAAGCTCCCATCAGACTGGAACCTCCGGGGCAGGAAGTTCATCTACATCGGGAAGTAGTTCCAGTTCTTCTGGAAGTAGTTCAGGGTCATCCGTCTCAGGCAGTGGATCCGGAAGTGGAAGTAGTTCTAGTGCGCCTGGTTCCAGTATGTCTGGAAGTGGGTCCAGTTCAGGAAGCGGAAGTTTTGATCCGAATGCTATGTACCAGCAACAATCTAAGCTGAATCTCCAGAAACTGGAGTCAACTATGCAAAACGCCAATGCTAAGTTTGACGCCAATGCTGTGAATAATTTCCAAACTAGTGATGGTGGAAGTTCCGGATTCAACCCAAATCAAATCAACGCAATGAATTCTAACATGAATAATCTAAATGGACAGACTTCCGGTAGTCAGACAGGAAGTCAAACTTCTGATGGGCACACTACAGATTCTCAAGAGTAACTTCAAGCATTATGTAAGAAAATGGTTAGTACTTGTTTAACATGTTTGAATGTTTGCCTTACTAGAATAAATGTCTGATATAAAATATTTGCATTAAAATCAATACAAAACTATCGATCATGAAACCATACAGTAATTTGTATGTGAAGAGTCTAAGAATATTCTGTGCTTACGAATACGAAAATCGGAAACTGTATCTTTTTAGATATGAAATAAATGTCTCGTCCATAGTCTATACTTTGTACTAACATTTACATTTTTTCTTTAATTTTGTAATATATGTATCTGTTTCCAGAATGTTTTGGAAAAATGAAGGAATGAAATCAAATTGTAATGAAACCAACTATCATCAATAACACTTTACAACTTATCTACCTCAACAGGCAACCACATTTAGATACTCCGTACCAAGAACCACCATGTCTTCTACCTCTATCAAACTGTATATTTTCTACTTTATCGATTGATTTTAAAAAAACAACAGAAATATATCTTTTTTTCTCTTTGTATATACACGTACTTTTAATATATTTTATAGCATCGTGCATAACATGGCACGTACATTTTTGTCTACGAACGAAACAACGAAAGCGCGGTTGTGAAAGCTCGGAAGTTCGATGGTGAAGATAGGAAATTGTATCGTGTTTTCACCATCGTGGTTTCGTTATTTCTAAGGTATAATCGACTTTTCATCATCGTACCTTATCTAATTCGTCTTTTCACACTTGTTCTTCCGTTATTTTGACTTTTCATCATGATCACTATTTCGTAGATCGTTGTTTCAAGTTATGTGTGTATCGCGATGATCCTAACAGGACACCGTACATATTATAGTAAATTCAAATTTATTTTAGTTGGATTGTAGCTTATTTAAACATTTTCGAATCCGTTCTTGGAACTTAACCAGAACTAAGAATGAATATTAAGTTTGTTGCGCGAGGTAACAACGGCTTGGATTTGACAGGGTTAGAATCCACGCGGTCAGCAATTATTATTTGGTCCGTTGGCCACGCGGCCACTCTTCACTACATCGCACACTGATGGTGTCTACTGAGAAATATCACTATGGAAAAAATCATAAAACAAAAAAAGTAGGGTTGAAGTTGTAAAAAACTATTTTGACTGATACGTACCATGCATTTTTACAGTTTTGTAAGGGTCATGAAATGAATGACAAACAATCATGGTGATTCTTTCTTGTAATTCGACCTTTCTTCTTTTGGTCGCCCGTCATGCACGCGAAAAATACAAACAATTGAAAGGTTTCTGTCCATTTCGTCAAACTTTGAATGAGGACGATTATTGGTAATAGCTGATTTGTTCGGATCCAGTGACGAAAAAATCTTAATTACATCAGCCGACATAAGAAACTTGAACTAAGGTTTATTTTTATTTAATTGTGTATAAAAACGCCACTAAAAAGGTATTCTAAAACCAGGTGTAGTAAAACGACTTCAAGTTAATTCTTGCAAGTAAATTAAAACAAAATAACGTGATGTTGGTAAAGAATCGCACCGGAGACCTTCAGATCGGTAGTCCGACATCTATACCAATACCACAACACACTGACGAGTAAAATTAGCAAATGTATCGATTGAATTCGATAGATACTGGTCTGTGTTTATTCAAATGACCTTTACGAAAGTTAATGAAGTGTCAGGTCAATATTGTTGGACAATATTAGTGAATATTTTCACGAGATTCTCAAATCACAACAAAGCTGTAATGTTTATTTTGATAAAACCTGACATGCCATGAAACCACTCTAGCAGATAGGAATAATGAGTCCCCGAAACCAAATATAAATTATGTATTATAAAAGTTAAATTTATAAACAATATGAATGAACTTAAATGTTCTATGGTGGCAGTTTAAATGGTTTTGCCAGTTTGCGAAGTTTATCACGAAGGGTTAAGTCATTTGTATATGAGCCGCGCCGTGGCAAAACCAACATATTGCGTTTGCGACCATCATGGATCCAGACTGCAGCCTGCGCATCCGCGCAGTCTGATCAGGAACCATGCTGTTCGCTTACAAGTCGTATTACAAGTAGAGAAACTGATGGCGAACGGCATGGATCCTGATCAGATTGCGCAGATGCGCTGGTTGGTCTAGATCCATGCTGGTCGCAAACGCACTATGTAGGTTTTGTCATGGCGCGGCTCAATTATGATTGAAAGATAATCATCTCGCCTTAAACTAATTCTACAGTATATAAACCAACACTACGCACTTGAAGGTCCTTATTCAAGTTGACGTTAGTACATTTAGTAGATTATGAATAATAATTTTATAATTTAGAAATACTTTAAAATATCGTTTAAATGATAAAATGTCAAAATGCCAAATATTTCAATATCCAAGATAGCGCGTTTAAAATTTAAAAGCTTATCTGACCAGCAAAATATTTCAATATCCAAGATAGCGCATTTAAGATTTAAAAGCTAATCATCTGACGACGGATTGTTTTATTTCGAAACGTAAAGGGAATTACCGGGTGGGGTATTTCGAAATAGTAAAATTTTGAATAAAAAGGAACATGAGGAAGTGAATAGAACAGTTTTGTGTAATTTTGTAATACTTTCTGTTTCAAGCATGGAACATGGATGTTTTTACATAAAATTGTTTGTTTTTATAACTACATTTGCTGTTATATTGCAAGGTGCGTTTATTTTATTTATTTATTTATTTATTTATTTATTTATTTATTTATTTATTTATCTATTTATTTATTTATTTATTATTCATTTCTGTAATAAAAGTTAAATCAAAGAATCTGCTGAAAGAAAAATAAAATAAAATGAGTTTTATAAAAAAAACCCTCGAGGATGAGTTGTTAATTGTTATACAACAATGTAATTGTCGTTTATTTATTTAAATATTTGTTTATTTTCTTTTTATCTAGATTTTCAAGCGGACTGTAGAGGTGGCGGTCGTGGAGGCGGGCGTGGTGGTAGATATAGGGGCGGGGGAGCAGGAGGTTCAAGTGGCTCAAGTGGGTAGGTAGATTCATGTAAAACACAGATAGATTATACAATTTCTTTAATGTCAAATAACCTAAAAAATAACCATTCGAATTACAAATGAATTTCACAAAGTTTTAATATAAATTTACATTCATTGTTGTATTTGATGTATTGTTTACTATTATGCATAATCGTCAAGGTGTATGTTTTTAGGAACTGTATGCCTGTTGTCCATATTTCAAATTTGATGTAGTCGATTGACAATGGGCATTTTTAAATTTATTCAGTTTGTTTTGACTATTTGTAATTCAATCATACTTTATTTTCCATTGAACATTCGTTACTAACTCCCTTTGATTTCTTGTTATCGGAAAGTCACGTGGTAGAATTATTATGAATAATCGTCGAGGTCAAATAATCATAAAATAATCCCCCAGCAACCGTTAACTATATACATGTATAATACATATATAATAGATGTATAGTATAATTTTTATATAGTAAACGGGTGCTTTATGATAATTTGAACAAAATGAGCCAAACGGCAGAAGGTACTGTGATGGGTGGAATGTGATTCCTTTCGTGAAGTTTGTATAAAATGTATAATGTCCTTTTTTATTAATTTTTACATGTGAAATTATTTCCGTTGAAATTTAAAAAAAATATGACCAGACGCAAGCATCACTAGAATTTAAAAAAATGTCAAATTAATGGCGAAATTGATAATCAGAAACGTGTTACATATAGATCTATATCTGTAACACCATTGGAACATCATATAGACAATACTCCTAGAAGGGCACGTACCAGACAATTTATAGCGTATAATATAGTTTAGAAAAAGATAAAAAGATGAAAGTTTCTTATCATTCTAACTATTTGTAATTTTAATCACAATACAGCTTGTTTCGCGTTCCGCATTTATGCAATTACCACTGGACTATTTGTTAACGTAATTAAAGCTGAAGAACTCTCTGTCCCTATATTACTGCACGTTTGTAATATCCCTTTTCGGCGTTTATATAAACTACTTTTGTCTGCTTTCAATATCTGAGGTTTTCCCCCTTTTTTCTCTAAAAAAAAGAAGGTTGTCGTATTATAAATTTATAAATTTACAGGTTACCCGGTATATGGCTATTTTCAATATCGGCTCGGGTTATATATGCAAAAAAACGTTTGTAAATGGCTATTTAACCTGTCAAAAAATCTTTATATCTATTTTACACAACTATTTCGTAATTTATATGTTTTATTATTTTAGTTCTGGAGATGGGACATGGTGGATCGTACTTGCCGTGATTGGAGGAGTTTTTGTTCTTATTGGACTTCTTGTTGTCATAATTTATTGTCACAAAAAACGCTGATACTTGCAGAAAAGACGCTGAATATAGCGATAGTTTTCTGATCTATTCCATCCCTTATGATGCTTGATTAATTAAATACCTTTGTGCCAGGTCAACATGTTATACGATTGCAACGAAAGAATCACAACAAAAGTGACTTGCATCATCTTAAAATCGAATCAAGATCCAGCCGGACGGTTATTTGCCATAAGCAGTCCCAAGGTCGTGCAATATTAAATTGTAACGTCAATGTTAGAATTTTTAATTAATTGAATTTTTAATTTATAATAAATATATTCATATGCATTGCATGTATTTAAAATTGATTTTTATTATATTCATATGCTTTACATGTAATTAAAATTGATTTAAAGTATATTTTATCACTTGCTAAGTTTATAAAAATACTGCATGTTTAATTTTCTAACGCCGATTTTCATTGGATAATCGCGACATTTATATAGTTTTATAAACACAACTGTTGTCGATTTATGAAGAAATCTTAAATGACTTTTTTTCTCTAAATAATAAGGATTGCTGTAATAATTCGTAATAATCATTTCCGACTTGTTATATGGCCTATGTTTCCAAACAATCATTTATATAGGACCATAATTATGAATGTCAAAAAAAATCTTTACAACTAACTCAATTAATATACACGGCTGCTGTTTGTGGTGTCATTTTCTTTTTTTTCTCTTCACATGAATAAATAGTGTTTCATATTGATTTCGTTTATAAAGAGTTTTAACATTTTATATCTTCACGTGTAAACTGTTTTTTTTTCTGCATCATGGAGGGTCATAAAGGCTGTCATTTTTTTCTATCAATTTCTTTGAAATATCTGTTTAGACTGAAGCTCAAATGTCAAGGTTAATGTTACAAAAATTAGAAAAATGGTTTCTGATAGGAATGAGATAATATAATCAAGCTTAGTATAAGTATGATTTTGTGGAGACTTCGACCTTACTTTTTGGTCCCCTACGGTCAAGGTCAAAGCTACTTTTACTTAAAATAGAAACATGGTTTCCAACGATAACTATAGTCTAAGAGTTATAAACGAGATATTATTGTAATGAAACTGTGGTGGTGGTGTTGGTAGTTTTCACTCCGGATCACGACAGTTCCTCTTAACTCATACTATATCCTTACAATAAACAACAAACAATATAATACTATTTGAAAATGTATTATATGTATGGAGCACTTGGACGATCAGTGTGTAGTGTGTAATACATTCACATTTCAATTATTTATGTAACACTACATAGTTACTATAATAAATGCATCAAAACATATATATTCATTTTAACACATTCATAGACAATAATCTTAAATTCAGATAATAAAATCATCTTACAAAATATATTTCATCTAGATGGTTAACACTGAAACCTTTATTCAAAACACATTTCTTGCCAATTTTTTAATTTTTTAAGCTGATATTGCCTAGTCGATCGTCCAAAGCTGAATGACCAATACTACACATTACTTTAGCACGAAAACTTCGTGCACAAAACTATGCAATAGGATACTTTATTCGACCGATGGAAAATAATTTTCCTCTAATTCGCTTTCGCTCAACCGTGGAAAATTATATTTCCTCTTAACTCATACTATATCTTTACAATAAACAACAAACAATATACATTTGTAATACTATTTGAAAATGTATTATATGTATGGAGCACTTGGACGATCAGTGTGAATTTAAAGAACGGGAAAACAAAATTAAAAATTGGCAAATATTGCTCCTTAATAATGTAACAGATCAAAATACTGACATTTTTCCAATATAATATTTATAGTCCTAAAGATAAAGAAACGGCTAAACGCTCCTTTAAATTGTCTTTAATGTAACCATCTTTCGCTTTTTGGCTGACCCAACGACCATGTCTCTTAAACATACGTTCTTTAATTCCACATTCACTATTTGCAGCAGCGGTAGCACCACCGCTTCGTAAAGAATGTAATGAATATTTACTTATATCAGATACATGTGGTTTCAAAGCGTTTAAAAACATCTCACGCAAGTTCGTGAAAGAAGTTCTACAGCGTGCATTTCTCACTCTATATCCTGATTTCGTTTTTGACAAATTACATAAAAGAAAATCTTCACCATTAAGCTCTGCCCATTTTATATATTTTAACACATTTTCACAAGGACATAATAGAGTTCCCGTTTTCGCAATCACCAACCAATGACCATCTCTATATACATCTGTTTTACTTTTCTCAATATAAATAGCCATATATGACTGTTCAAACACTATATCCGATACATTTATATTCAATAATTCAGCACTGCGCAAAAAACCTGCATAAGCTAAAATAATAGCACATATGATTCTTTGATTTTTAATATTTTTCTTTTCGTAAAGAGAATTATAAACAGCCAAAAAATTTTAACTGTAATTGGCTCTTTACTGTTTACAGGTTTTGCTAAAATTCTTTTAGCCGCTTCTAAAATATTTATATTAACTTTAGAATCAGTAGGGGAAACTAAACCATTCAAATCATGGAACCATTTAATAGCGTAAAAAGCTGTTATTACAGGAGCAGGAGTACGCGCAGTTTGAATTAATGAAGATGAATAAAGTGCCACAGTTAAAGTTTTAGCAGGTAAGAAATCCCCACTCCCTAAAGAATTAAACAAACCCCACTTTATCCAACGATTAAATGCCAACTCATATTTCTTACAAGTATTAGCCGTTCTTGACTTCTTCAAAATGTCTGGGAGTAGGTCAATCTTATCCGCCAAAACCGGTGGCAATTCATCAATATCGTCCTTATGAATCTGCAAAAACAGATTTAAATTGAGAAAAATTTAATAAAAACAAATGTTCAAAACATGCTTACTGTGAAATACATCAATATGATTCTAATAACACTTTGTTACTTCTTATTATGTAATTCCTTAATACATGTAATATGTATGGATTTATAAGGAAACATTTCGTGTTATATCGTGTACAATTAATTTTATAATTAAAATTATCACGAGTCTAATAGAACTTAAAACATAATAATTGATCTAAATTGATACGATAACATGAATACAAACTTTCTTCAATATGATAAGATATAATACTTATATTTTAAACAATCCAAATGGCTAAGAAAAAACTCCATTCAGCAAGTTAAGTGAAAATTAAACTGAACATTTATATCAAAAACAGCTCCAGAAAGCAAATTGATCTTAACATCGACTCCAGTGAGCAAAATACTATTTCATAAATTCCGATTACAGCCCCAGTGAGCAAATAATTAAACCGCTCCAGTGAGCAAAATACTATTAACTCCAGTGAGTTTTTTGTTCTTACAGCTCCAGTGAGCAAAATACTATTAAATAAAGTCCAGTGAGTTTTTTTATTCTTACAGCTCCAGTGAGCAAAATATAAAAATACACTCCAGTGAGCAAGTATTATTTTTATTAACAGGGTCAATGAAAAATCCGCTCCAGCGAGCATAATATTTAAAACCGCTCTAGTAAGCAAATTTTTAATGTATATCAAGAGAACAAAATAAAGCGAAATCTGTACCATTTAATAATATCTACAAAAACATCATGAATCAAGGGAAACTACTCAATATTACTAGGTTTATGACTCTGTCAGAGTAAATTCCCCTAAAAATTAACCCGTAAAGCCAACATACCGAATTTTAAATCGATATTTCCAAAAATTCCATGACCATTCTTACATTTCGTGTAATATTTAGCCTCCGTAGGCAACATAATAAATTCTTTAATTATGTTAATAAAACAACCATTTTGGCATAATAACGGCCAATTATATTCCCTGTGCCCGATCTAAAATCATCTTATTCAAAACCCTGTGAATAAGATAAAAAGGGGAAACAAATAATCCAAATTCTCCAGCCCAACTTACTGTAAAAGCATCTACACCTTGAGAACTAGGATGCCAAAACTTGGAATAAAAACGCGGCAATATGATTATATTCTGAAGCGAACCAGTCTATACTCATTTTTCCAAATTGTTTTTCAATTAAAACAAAAATTTCTAGTGATATACCCCAATCATCATTTTCTACAATTTTTGACAGATAATCTGCTTTTTCATTAAGTAAACGAGGTATCCACTCTATTTCAAGAGAAATAGACTTACATAGACATAATTTAAAAATATCTAAAGAAATCTCTTGTAATTCTTCGTTCATGGAACCTTTAGTAACTATTGAAACAACACCCTGATTATCTGAAAACTATTTTACACGCTGATTCATTAACACATGAGTAAGTGATCGAAGTACAGAATACACTGCAAACAGTTCCCTCCAAGTAGAGGATTTTTTACTCTCTTCTGGGGACCATTGACCATGGGAAACACCGTTTATAGTATTTACTTCATAAACAGCAAATCCTAGTGATGAAGCATCACTGTAAACTACTCTTGAACAAATCTGAGACTGGAAAATGTTCCGGGAATTAACATTATCTAACTGTTCAATCCAAAACTTAATTTGCTTAAAACTTTCCTGAGAAAGACAAATGTAAGAATCCCATGATAGAGAATGTAAAATGTCAATACTCAAATAACGGGTCATTATCTGTGTCACATGACCTATAACTTTCCTAACTGGCACACGCCTATGTTCCTTCAAATCATACAATAACTGAGAATCAGTTAACTTAGCCTTATTTATTCTTTCCTCGGAAACCATTATAATTCCATCTTTAGAATTCAAAATGGCCCCTAAAAATGCAAAACCTGTGTTGGAAGCCAAACACATTTATTTACATTCGAAATAAATCCTGACAATAACTGATCTTGTTTAACCTAATTACTAAGCAACAATGCTTTTTCATAATCGCTCGCACAACCCAAACCATCGTCTAAAAAGTTAATACCAATTTTCCTTCACTTCTCCATTTTGCAATTAAAGGTCTAGTTACTTTTGTAAAAATGTAACACGCACTCGATAACCCAAACGGTAAAACAAGAAACTTATAAAAAAATCACTTGACCGTCATCTCTAACCCAAGAAAATCCCAAAAATTCAGTGTGTGGTTAAAAAATTTCAATGAAATGATAAGCACTAGTAATATCAAATTTAATCATAAAGGATCCCTTTTGCAAATACGATGAAGCTATCCTTAAATCTTCAAATTTCACTGATTGCTTCCATAAATGTTTATTCACATTACGAAGATCTAAAATCAATCTCTTTTTACCACTATTCTGAATAGATACAGTTAATGGATTAACAACTCGTGGAGGACTAGAACAACGTACAATAAGAGATCTATCTAACAAATCTTTAATGGCACATGAAACAAATTCTGGTTCAGATAAAGCAGATTTATTA